AGTGGCCTTAACTATACCTATTATAGTTAACTTAGTGTGTATAGTTCTTACCAATTTAGTGGTTTAAGCATCGGATGAAATGAAAATGCTCGTATCCAACACTAATATACATGATATATAACTAAGAAATCAACGACAGTCGGACGGATAACAACTACCTTAAGCCCACAATCAAACAAGAACAGTAAATAAGGCGAGCTATCGGTCCTAAGTCCTTCAAGTCTTACTTATATAAATATATTAGTGTGGTTACATTTTATAAGAAAATTTATTTAATAAAAATCTTGTCCAAAGGGAACATTTATAAAGTTGTTTATTTATCCCAAAATAGTTTTGAAAACGTAAAATCCTTTTATAAGGCATAGTGGTAAATCACATGTGATTTGAACTACGGATAGTGAATCACATGTGATTAATTTTCATTAAACATGTATAATTGACTTGTACCCCCCCCCCCCCCTTAAACATATAAAAACATTTGAAAGGTTCATTAAAGGGGTATGAACTCACCTAAAACCGAGTAAATCGGGTAAATCGGGTGAAAGTGTCGGTTGAGCGTTTGGTGCCAAATAAGGACTTGTACACCTTTTAAGACCCTATTAACATATGGAATATGTGTTTTACAAGAAATTAGCCATTTATGCTTTTTATTAAGACATTTAGATATTCTAGCATTGATTCGGGGTCTTAGGGCTTAGAAGTGGTTCTCGGGGATTGTACAAGGCCAAAAAGGGTTTACGGGGGAGTCCAAGAGTTTACTCCCTAGGAGTTTACAGCCCAAAGGCCACTCCTTTGGAGTTTACGGCCGTAAGCCCCTATGCTTGGCCGTGAACTCTTGTTCTCCTCCCAAAAATGGATGTTAAGGCCTTAAATCAATCCTCTATAATTCTAGTGAATGTCTAGGGCCAATTTGGGGGTTTAAAACCTTCACTTGGTTATGTTTGGGGGAGTTTACGGTCCTAGCTTATGCTTGGGGCGTAAACTCCATTTTGTCCCTCAAAATGTGTTGTTAAATGGCCCTAAGCACTTCCTAAAATCATAACTAAATTCTAGCATGCCTTAGAAGGGTTTTTGGGGCACTTTCACATGGGAAAAAGGTGTTTATGGCCTAAGCATAAGCTTGGGCCGTAAACCCTCTTTTAGGCTCCAAAAACTTGTGTTTTAATGTCCCAATTCATCTAGGTAGATCCATAATTAGTATACAAGCTTAAAGGAAGGAAAAATGGGACTTTGGCCATGATTTGGGGTGTTTATGACCTAAGGAGCTTCTTAGGCCGTAAACTCCTTGTTTACCCCTCAATCTCATGATTTTCTAGCTATAAACACAATGATGTATGTTTTGAACAAGTTAGGAAGGAAAATCTTACGTTTGGAAGCCAGAAATCACGGTTTTGGAGTCGAAATCGGGTCTAGAGAGAGAAAGTAGTGAGAGAGAGTGTGTTTGGGTGGTAAAAATGTGCAAAGTGATATTCATTTCCTTTATATATGCCTCTGGTGATGCACCCGATACACGACTACCCGATGTTGAAGTTTAACGGGGTTTAAACTTTTTACCCGGATGAAGTGGTTGAAAAATAATATAACTTTATCTGTTTAACGAGATTAACATTAACAAGTTATATCCACTTATAATAATGACATGAATTATAAATAAATAGATTTTTATTTATTGAAACCTCCAAATATTACGGAACCTTTTATAAAGCGACGAATTCCGTTAGTGAAAACGGGATTTTATAACGGATAAATGTTGGGTTGTCACATATTATTAGACTTTTCCGTCTCATCATGTCCACGAAATGGTAATGCATTTTTCAATAAAAATCTACAACTACGGAGTGTAGCGCGTAATTGAATTTCATAATTATTGTGCTCAAGTTCCGTTTGCTTATGCAAAACTTACCAATAGATTGTTTTTTTCTCAATAACAAATGACACTTTTTCTTCGGCCTTATGGTGAGAACTATGAATCTCACCCATATGTTTCTGGAATGATTTTTTTTTACTCCAATTGTCAAAGCCTTCCGTTATAAAAGCATCTTTTCCACATTGACCCCTACCATGTCTCTAAACAAATAGCAACAAAAACAATATGCCTTCTTTTTTTAATGCTATACTCTAACCATGAAAATTCCGTAAACCATTCCACAACAAAACGTCTTTAGTTCTCACCAAATAAGGTAAATTCAAAATTATGTCCCTTTGGTTGACAATGTCCTTTAATCAAATATGTCATCCTTATTTCATACCTTTAATTAGGATTATAAGATGTAATCTTTGGCCTCTCCCCTGGATCCGAAGGAAGATCATTCAAATCAAAAAATTGTGGCACTTTTGGTTTTTGAGTATGCTCATTAAATTGTGGTTCTTGTGGTTTTGCAATAGGCTCATCGGATTATGGTTCTTGTGGTTTTGGTGTATGTTGATTAGGTTGTGGAACTTATGTACTTTCATTAGCCATTTTTTTTGAAGTTCCTTCACCATTATTGTCTCCAACATCTAATTGTCTTTTGAAAAAATTGTTAATATCTACCTGCAACCAAAATATATCAGCAATCAACTCTAATTCTATAACTTGATTTTAAGTTTCAACAATAAATAATCACTAATTATTGACCCTAAGTCTCTAATTTAACAATCCTAATTTGGTAATTTCTATTTTTTCAACACAATGCCAAAAAATTGAATTTCAGTTAACCAAAAAATAATCACAAAATTTTTACTTACTTGCTTCATTGTGCACCACTTTGATAATTAATCACTCACCACCAGCCACCGGGGGATTTCGCCAGGAAACACCCACCACCGGCCACCGATTGGCGGCAAAAGAGAGGGCAGCAGTGTGCAGTCGCAGGGCAGGGAGTAAAACAAAGTCTGAAGTCACGATTTGTTAATTGTTTGGGAATTGACGTTCATAAATTTCTTTTCAGTATTAGGCATTGGGCTTTAAGTTTTGGCAATTGGGCTACTTATTGACTGGATTATACATTTATAAAAACACAAAAAAAGGGTAACCTAAAGTATATTTTAGACTTATGGTGCATATAAACAATAATTTCTTGGAAAAAATTTGTATTATTAATTTTTTTTGGGGCCTGGATACCTAGGGTCCTTAATTGGATCCGCCTATGAATCCCCCCCCTCCTTAAACCCATCCAAACTAGATTACTAAAACATATTCTAAAAGCTCAGGTGTCGATACCTTTCCAGAGACTACTTGCACAAGTCCATATGACTTTTCTACAATTTATTACGGATATTACAAAACTGCATATCAATGCAGATAATTCTAGATCAATCTATGAAAATGACGATTTTCACCCAAGTTATAACCAACATAAGGTCGAAGAAAGAATCAGAGACATATTAGACTTAAAATCTGAACTTTGAGAGTTTATGGATCCTAATTATGACATCTAATGATTTTTCTATAATGTTTACAAGACCAGGACAAATTAGTGACTTCTCAACAACATTTCACCTCTGGGGTTATGGTTTTCGATCCAAACACCTAACCGTATGACTATGGTTCAGTCCCAAATGAACATACAATATCTATACATCTAAAATAAATTCAATGAAGAAGAAATCATACTTAGATTGTTGAGATTAAAGGCAACATCAGTCAAAATTTTAATATATGTCTTGGGAATCGGCTCTTCAAATTTCATGAAGATCCAATGGTTCAATCTTCAGGGATCGTCCAAACACTGCTGTAAGGTCTTCAAAAACGAGAATTCCAAAAAAATTCCACTTTAGGCTCAATTCTCTAAGGATTGCAATTCTAGGGTTAGGGGATGACCCTAGAACGAAAATAATTATGAAATAGATGCCATTCTCATTTTTAAACCCTAATAGGGTTTCATTTTGGCAATATTCACACAAATAGTCCTTAAGTTCCAAGATGTCTACCATTTTAAGTTTTAAATGTGCCCCTTTCAACTGTTCCTCTCCATTTATATTTCATTTTAGGTTATTTAGTTATCTATTTCATTATTAAAATAAAATAATGACACTAACTAATTAAAATATGAAAATATTAACATACCAAAAACCAGGTTGTTACAGTTTTGCAAAATAACTGAAAACCTTTAATATTAAAATTATTTTATGTAGCATAACAACCTATACAAGGGGTGTTTCATATAGATATCAAATCTATTGTCATATGCTTTGGGTTTCCTTTGAAAAATGGATGCCAAAGGGTACAAATAATGTTGAATTGTATCTATAGGTAGGGAAAAAATAACTTAAAACCTTTATATTAAAATTATCTTATATAGCATTACAGCCTATACAAGGGGTGTTTCATACTAATATCAAATCTATTGTCATATGTTTTGAGTTTCCTTTGAAAGATGGATGCCAAAGGGTACAAATAATGTTGAATTGTATCTATAGGTTGGGCCAAAATAATTGAAAACCTTCGTACTAAAATTATCTTATATAGCATAACAGCCTATCAAGGGGTGTTTCATACAAATATCAGATATGTTGTCATATGCTTCGGTTTCCCTTTGAAAGATAGATGCCAAAGGGTACAAATAATGTTGAACTGTATCTACAGGTAGGGCCAAATACACTTTGATACAAGGTCGATTAGACACATTTTTGGTTGATCATAGATAATTTGTGAATTTTTTAATCTTAGTTTTGGAATGGAAAATCACCGGTTCGACCCAGCCCGATTACTTTTACCACTTTAACTCAACCTGAACTACATGGATCCACTAGTGACCTCTCACATCTCAATAGCTTCTACATAGATATAAAGGCAATCATAAAGCACTCCCGAGTAATGAACATGTAATTTGATACCATCACATTGACAATAGAACTATTTAGGGCTTGAGTATCTTCCATATACTCAAGTGTACCAGAATCCAATAAGATGTTGAGAAAAGAATTTTGTTGGGGTATCCTTCGGTGCAAAATGTCAGTATATATCCCCATATTATCTCCATAACTTTAGGTAGATTAGTTTATACAACAGAAAAGAAGTCAATATATAATTATGCAGCAGTCTATATGAATATACAAAATATTCGGTATTTGCTTGTTTACAAACACCCCATAGTTCAGAATATCAGCACTGTCCAGCAAATTACATAAGTAGGAACATTTTTATAACTTCCAAAAACAAACTAACAAGGATTCAGTAAGCTACAAAACAGCCAAAATTAATATATAAACTGCACAAAAACTGAATCTTGTGTCGATAATATTTATAAAACAAAAACAAACTTTAAGTGATGGTACTAAGATCTCAAAAAGGGTGCCTCGAAACAAGAGCTTATAATCAAATCGTAGTGTGTTTTTCAGGGTACCTGATCTCATTGAACATAGTGTTGAGTTCTTGATGATCAACCATTTGTTGCAAAATCTTATCATTGAGCTTCGTAGCATGCACCTTCTCATTGTTCTTCAGTTCCTCAGAAGCCATGGCAGATGAAGAAAATACCAGCTCCCCTAATCGCTCTTTCTCAACTTGTCTATGATACTTCTCCTCTTCAGTGGTGCCAGATGCCATCAAATGATAGGTGTAAACCACCTTCTTCTGGCCTAGCCTATATGCTCTACTAATAGCTTGTCTTTCCACAGAAGGGTTCCAAACAACATCCAAAAGAACCACTCTTGAAGCACCAATAAGATGAATCCCTTCAGAACAGCATCTTGTAGATGCCAGCAAAACTTTAACTTCACTGTTTGGATCGTTGAAATCGTTTATAATCGTTTGCCTTTGCTTGTGATGTATCCTTCCTTCTATGATCATCATCTCCCTCCCTTCGTTCCAACCAAAAACAAGGGCAATTTGGTCTTTTAACAACTTTAACGGCTCGATAAATTGGCTAAAGATCAAAACTTTTTCATCTAACGATACGCTTAGGCGAATGAGCTCCATAACAAACCTTGTTTTGACACCAAAGTCAGGTTTAAGTTTCACCTCTTTGAGTTCTTGTTTGTCTATCGAGTTTTTTTCTTCCTCAGACAACGAACAATGAAGGATCAAAGATGGATGAACAGACACCAAAGCAACCTTATGTTCATACTCAAAAGTCTTCGCTAAACTTCCAATATTTTTAATTAAACGTTTTTGAAGCGGAGGTGGATTCAGAAGAATGACACTGCTTTTCAAACCATGAAGCTTGCTTTCGAGAATCTTTCCTTTGTGTACATGAACGAAAGGTGAAATGATCGCTTTTAGTTTTTCTATATCGCCTGAAGCTGCAGATTCACTTCTGGATTTCTTTTTGTTCCTACAACGAATCATCATTTCTGCAAAGATCTTTTGGTTCATGATATCTTTCGCAGTTGCTGGCCTTACTAAATGCAACGTATTAAACAACTCCCTAAAGTTGTTTTGAAACGGTGTTCCTGATAAAATGACACGTTTTTCAGTTTTGAGCTTTTTAAGCACGTTCCAAATGTTGCTTCTTTCATTACGAGGTGTGTGGCCTTCATCAAGAACTACTAAACCAGGTTTCTCGAGTAACACATTTCCCATTTTTTCAAGATTCTTGTTCTTTGCATTCCCAGCTAGTTTTTCATACAGGTTGTAGCTCACTCCAAGAACACTTCCACCATTACTCCAACAACTTATCTTCATTGCACGTATCAAATCTTTACTACATTTTAAGTTAGCATTATTCACCTTATCCTTGCTCAAAATATCAGAACTGTTGAGGTTCAGAAACGAAAACCCAACTTGCCATTTCTTGAATTCAGCTTCCCATGTTAGAAGCATGCTCACTGGAGCAACTATAACAGGGAAACATTTGGGAAATTTCTTAAGAAACGACTCAAGAAACACAATGGTCAACAGGGTTTTACCAGTTCCAGGAGCATGTGAAATGATGCATCCACCACCACGTGGATCCAGTTTATGTATTCTTGAAAGCTCAATTGTTCCCGCCAAATTTTTCCATAAAAACTTGAACCCTTCTTGTTGATGATGATATAAATGTGCTCGAATGTTGATAGGGATTAGTTCCCAAACTGTGCCTTTACTTTGCGTGTAAATGTCAAGAGGGTTCCAATCTGGAGCTTCAAAATACATGTTTTCTGAAGTAGAGAAGTGTTGATTATTAAAACGATAACTTCTTTTTGACTTATCGGGTGCATAGTTTGCCTGCAATTCAATGGAAGTTGTTTAATTCATAAATTAATCATGGTGATGATGAAAAAGCATCAAGATTCACTCACTAGCTTTGGTATTACATATCTGCTTTCTAAAATGATAGCTCCACAAATACCACATCTGAAGCCTATTTGTTCTTCGAAGTATGCATCTCTGTGCTCCCCCTTTTGACATTGTTTGAAAGGATTTGTTTCAGTCTCATCGACATCGACATCTTTCTCTCTGTTTTTAACCTTCATGATGAAAGATAGTTCCAAGCTCAATTTTACAGTAAATATGGAAGAAATTAAGAAAGAAAACTAACCGTTGGTGTTGTATAGGAACCTATTTCTTCACAACTGAAAGCAAACTCCATCTCCTGAAATAATCCTTCCATTTCATCATTTTTTTGACGTGAGGACTCATCTTCGCTATCATCAAATCTGAATCGTAAAGGAAGACAAATGTCACCCTCTTTGTGATGAACTTCTCCATTTTCAATGATTGAATCCAAAAGAGATTCTACAAAGACGCCATCATCTTTTCGTGGAGCTTTTCTAGGGTTCAAAGATTCTTGATTTTTGACAGCATTTGCTTTATCAACTGTTTTGTAATGATCGCTTTCTTTAACTTTTGCGTACGGTTTTTCATGAGTGTTGATACGCATAGTAGAATCATTCATTGGTTTAAGATTTGGTTTTTTCATATTCGTTTTTGATGCTGATTGATTCTTCTCTCTTCTGTCAACTGATCCAGACCAAATTTTTTCCCTTGTGTTTTCCGTTGGAGATTCTTTCATGTTTGTGAGCTGTTTGTGTCTTTTGTTTTGTAGCAAAATTTCGAAATTGTCCAAGTTATCACTCTCACTTTGGCTAGAACTAGATGGCTCATCTTCATCATCTTCACTAGACAGATTTTGAATTTCTTCATGATATTTGCAGGGTATTGGAAGATCTTCATCAGCCTCTGTTACCATTTTAGCTGTTAGAAGAAACATTATTTAGAAGAGGAACATTACAGAACAATAATTAAGAAACATCACCTTCTTCATCAGGAATTACAGCTGTATCATCTGAATCAGAGTCATCCGAAGAGTAGAGGAAGTACGTGTGAGTCCCAGTAGTAAAGAAACTTGATGAACGATACCCCTGGTTCTTCATTGCAATCTTTACAGACTCGATATTATTTTTTTCCTTATCTCCATCTGTCTCTTTCATTGAATGATGAGATTCTGCAGTGAATTTCAAGAAAATTCAATAGGCAAATTACAAAGAAAAGACTTTTGTAACATAGGTTTTATTTGCTATCGTTTTTCACATTTCAATGTTGTGGGACCCACAAAATAACATAAAAGAAAAGACTTACCTTCCTCATCGCTTCCTTTCTCTTGAGACTCATCAACTGAGTATTCACATTTGATGTCATGCTTATTTGATGTCATGAGACTTGAGTTTGATTTTCCTTCAGAATCCTCAATAAATAACTCATCATCATCATCAATCCACTTGGCTTCCTCATGTCCTTTTCCTCTCAATATACTAGAGCATTCTGATGCTGAATGAAACATATTAAACGTTCAAACTAAGAAAACAAATGTTGAGAAATAGAAACGTCTTCATGAAAAGGTTTACCATTTTCATTGTCTGTTTCCTCTTCTGTATCATCAAGCAATATCTCATTAAACCTCTCAGCTTCATCATGTTCTCTTATTCTTGATATACTAGAGCCATTGGAAGCTAAATAAAACATATTAAATGATCAAACCAAGAAAAATGGAGCTAGAAAATAAGTGTTGAAAAAGAGAAGTCTTCATGAAAAGATACCATTTTCATTGTTGGTTTCCTCTTCCGAATCATCAATCCATATCTCATTGACCCTCTCAGCTTCATCATGTCTTGTTCTCAATATACTAGACCCTTCAGATGCTAAATAAACACAAACATATTATACAATCGAACTAAGAAAAATGGAGCTAGAAAACATTACCATTTTCATTGTTTTCTTCCTCTTCCGACTCATCAACCAATGATTCTTTATCCTTTTTAGTTTCATTAAGTCTTCTTCTTGTTGATCTAGAAGAGCCTTTCGATCCTACAAAAAAGTTACGCAATCCAAGGAACACAAACGATTAAAGAAAATAGATGTCGACAGATAAAGAACTGAAGATCCTCTTCAAAACATACCATTTTCACTGCTTTTTTCCTCTTCCAACTCATCAACCCTCTTGGCTTCACTGACTTCTCTTCTCTTTGATCTACAAGAGCCTCCGGATACTATATAAAACATTATCATGATCCAGTCAAAAGCAATACAAGCAAAAAAACCCACCATTTTTGCAAAAATACAAACAACACACAGGAGTAAACAGAAATAGCTGAAAAAAACACAACATCAATATAATCACCACATTTATTACATACACATACATGATACATGCACACTTCAATTAAAGCACCCACACTACTAGAAAAGACATATCCGTTAGCGACAGACATTTTAGATGATGGATATTCCGTCGCTAGTGAGATTATCAGCAAAGATTATAAAACTAAGACACAAAACAGGGGAGGATAAATCCGTCGTTATTTAACAAAAGGATGTGTATATAGTCCGTCAACTTTTTGCAATGACGTTTCTGTCAACAACCCGCCATTGATTTGTCTCTTATCAGTCGAACATGTAGCCAATGGATTAGCAGAATTTCTGATGTCGTATTAATCACTAATCCGACGCTACTTTGTAAAACTTCTTATATTGGCTTTTTAGCGACGGAATGTTCCCTCGCAGAATGCTTGTTGTTCTATTAGTGGCATATATCCATACAATCATACATTCATATCCACATACATACATACATTCATACTTTTGGGAGAAACAGGGGCGTCAATGATTTGGAGTTATTGGTGTTGTTGTATTAAGGGGGAAAAAAAAAGAGAAAATAATATTAGATATAACTACTAAGAGTAACTGGTTTAGATGCTCTCTTATCAATCGAATAATAATCGACATCAAGAACTTCTTGTCCAGAACCATATTCAGAAGACCCTGCATTTGATCCATTAAACCCTAAACAAGAACCATCAAACAGAGCAATCATCCGAGACCCAAGTTATAAGGAACAGGTTTTGGAAAAAAGACCCATAAGTATTATTCTAACAGCATTGAATAATGATATCATAATAGAAACAACTCATTAAACAATCAAGAACATTGAAGATAGTACCTTGAGCATAAAGCAGTTGCCATTGTAGCCGAGTTCTTTTTGCCACAGGTGAGTTGAATATGTTCATTGTAATCAAGAATCAGACACGGATCGATGCTCGAGGGTTACATGATCTTTTTGAGGGTTTCTTTTGGTGGATAGATTTGAGCAATAGGGAATGAGATAGAGATGAAGGGTCGGAGAGATGAAGTAATAAAGCGCGTTAACGAGTATGTGAGGGAGATGTTTGCTAAAAACGGCGGGTAATCAATAAATTCTGATGTGATCTTTTTATAAAACTTTTCGATATATGGTATAGGATTTTTACACGTTTTACTGTTTTAGTCCTAAAATAGTAAAATACAAATCTTCTTCAAAATATGGTCTTTGCTAAAGGTTTCCACGTTCTTGTTTAAAATCAGAATAAATTACATAAACGGAATCTATTATTTGGAGTAATTTATTACTTTTAGTCTTTTAGTCTCTAACTTTACATAAACAGAATCTATGATTTGTATTTTAGGACTAAAACAGTAAAACGTGTAAAAATCCTATACCATATATCGAAAAGTTTTATAATTTACCATATAATTGTGTTTTTATATATATATATATATATATATATATATATATATATATATATATATATATATATATATATATATATATATATATACTAATTTTAGGTTTATTTTTGGTTTTTGCCACAAATGTTTGTTAAATTTGATATTTTTCGTCCTCGAAATAAAAACTTTTATATTTTTAAGTTTTTATTAAGTTTTTGTATCTTTAGGTTTTTGTCACAAATCTTTAGTGATTTTGATATTTTTCATCATTGCAGTCTAAACTTTTATATTTTGATGTTTTTGCTATAAATTTTTAGTGACTTTGATACTTTTCAACCTTGAAGTCAAAACTTTTTCATTTTGATGTTAAAAAAAAAAACTCCTTTAGACTTTTGCCACCATATTTTTCTAACTTTGACATTTCACACTATAGCCACAACATTTTTGTTTTTCTCAGTTAATGTTCTTTCTTTTGGTTGTATATTTTTTACATCTAATTTTAGGGGTTGTCAACTTTCTTCTTTATTTGTGGCGATTTACACTTTCAACACATCTTTTAAAATTTGTCGATTTTCAACTTCTATGACATAGTCCAAAAGCGGCGGACCCGCGTGTCCTTTTCTAGTTACTTTATAATTCTACTTTTTCAATTTATCTTTAGAAAAAAAAATTGGTCCTTGTACCATTTCATTCTCCACGACGTTGGTTTACCTTGTCGTCGTCCCCTTTTCCTGCACCACCCTCTTCCTCAATGATTGTAAACCCCGTTGTTGCAAAACTGGAAACAACAAAACCACTTCTCTGATCTCCACTGCAACCCAAAATCCCAATTAGTTCATAAAGTTGTTGCATATAGTCTTATAGAAGATGAAGGTAGGCTTGCAGTGGAGGTTTTGAATGTCACCGCCCTCTCTTTCTCCCTGTCTACCCATAAAACATTCCTCCACCCCCTTCTCTCTTCTCGTCATTATGTTCCATTCAATTGTGGGGGTGGGGATGAAAATCACCAAAATAAAAAAGAACGATTATATATATCATCAGTGACATCCGTAAACTAATTAACCAAGAAGAACCCTTCACCAAAGATTTTTCCTACACCCACCTTTATCTATTATAGGTTTTCTTGTGGCGGCCTTGATCAGATATTTTGTCGGAAGTGATTATCAAAAATATTTCACGACTTTGTTGTGGTGGTGTTGGTTGGAGGTTTTTCATTGAATAGCGTATATGTTCGATGATATACATGATCTAGACCTTGAACTCGTACATTAATAGGATTGTATAAAATCATGTGTCTTTGAGAGACAACTCTACTTCTCCAACTGTCTCCATAAATCCAAAAACTTCAGGATGTGTAATAGAGTTAAAAACTCCGGTCTTGATTGTTTATATTTTTAAGTAAAAAATCAAATAAAAAGGAGAAACATTATCGAAGGTTTTGGAATTGATTCATGTCGTTTTTAATTGCCTGCGAGCAGAAAGGAAGGATGTGTTTCTTCAATGTATTTATATAAGAGATAAGAGATGAGTTTTTTTTAACCAGGAAAAATATATTTTATTCATAATATTCACCTTATCAGCAAGAAGCTAGTAGAGATGAATGGTTACATTGATTCAATTACAAAGAAGAGGGTTTGTATTCCACAAGCTCCAATCTATTCTATCACTACCTACTCTATGCTTTGTCCAAACGAATGTTTGTGCTTTTATAGCATCAATTATTATCGTTGATTCAGAGTCAATCTTATTAAATACTCTATCATTTTGGGCTCCCCATAAACACCATAGGGCTCCAAAACAATATCGTTTCTAATGTGTTCCTCTTTTTGGGACAATTACCCCATTTGGAGGCAAAGTCAATGATGTTTGAAACTGTTTGGAACTCAATCGCCTAGATGTTACACCGTTGGAGAATCGAGTGTAATACTCCTATTGCTAGAGGGCATAGGACTAGAATATGATCCCTTGTTTCCTTTATCTCTCTACAAACACCATATATAATTTTTGTCATGATAACACCCCTGCTCTTAAGTGTTCCAGCCAAAATTACTCTATTTTGTTTCACCCTCCATACAAAGCCCAAGACTTTTAATGGAATCGTTTTTAGCCAAGGGAAGATGTCGTCACAACTGAAAAGGATGCCGTTTCGATTCTATAACGAAGGGCTGCAATGCACATATCCCCATCTAACACGTACGATGATAACCATACTTCCCTTGACTCACCTGGTTACATTACATCCTCGAATGGTATGTTGATCCTCTCCAATGCGACTTTACATTTTACAATATTTTTCCAAACCCTAGTCCAAATATTCCTTAAGTAGAAATGAGTCTGGTCGTCATCCAAATTGTGTAGTCCCCTGATAACCTTATCCCATACGGAATTAGGATTACTCTTTAGTCACCACATCCACTTAGCGAGTAATGCTAGATTCAAAGAACGGATTGACCCCAGACCTAGTCCTCCCACCGCCTTTGGAGCTAAAATATTCTCCCATGTTACCCAGTTTATACTAGAACTACAGGTAGGACTTCCCCATATAAATTGCCTTTGATTTTTTTCAAGTGAATTAATAACTCCGATTGGGGCACTGTAACGCCCGGGTTTTCAAGGCTAAGCATTTTTGTCAATGTAATAGTCTAGGTCAACTATTGTAACTCTTTTTGAAGTAATAAATATGAAATATTTGAGTATTATGTGAATTATGTGTGTTTATGTGTTTATTATTTAATTATAAATGTATAATTAATAAAGAATAAAAATGAGCGTCAAAATTAAAGTGTGAGATAATCCCGATATCTCTACATAAAGTTGTAGAATATGTCTCAAGGTTTCCGTACATATAAAGAATGCCGAAATCCGAGCTATAACGAAGAAGTTATGGCCCGCCGAAGTTTTACGGCAAAACCGGCACGACACCGGGAGACGTAAATAGTGAATTTACGATAGAAGACTTTTTAGCCTTAGCAATCTAAACAAAAGTCGTAGAATATGTTAAACTAAGAACATCGATAAAAAGAACGCCCAAATCTGACTTCGTATGAAGAAGTTATGATTTTTCTAAGATTCGGCTTAGCAGTGCACGGCCTGAAACTCGAATTTTAGTTCGAGCGGTTTTTGGCTTACGCAACGTAAATGAGAGTTGAAGATCTCATTAATAGGAAATCAACGGTAAAAAGACAGACAAAAACAGAGTCCGTATGTAGAAGTTATTAATTTTACGCAGACGTTTAACAGTATAATCTCCTTGTACTGTTAAATTTAAGATCGGTCGAGAATTAGCTGACGGTGTCAAAATGAAAGTTGTAGATCTTATTATTACCTACGCGTGGATATAAAGAACGTCAAAAACGGAGGTCGTATGTGAAAGTTACGGATTTTAGAAGTCGGAAGTGTGCTGTGCGAAAATGGGTGATGTGGCACAATCTTGGCCATTGCTTTCTCCCCAAGGCTTGCCACCAGATGGTGACATGTGGCACCAAGTTCAGCCACATTTCACCCTATAAATACCACCTCTCCCACCCTCATTTTCTTCACACCTTTCCCATTCTTTCTTCTCTTTACTCTCTCTCTCTCTAGAACCTCTCTCTAGCCCCGAAATCCCCCGAAAAGCCTAGGGAACCTCCCTAGCACGAGGCGGAAGCCCCGGAGTGCTCGAAGGCTCTGAGAAGAAGAGCTTTTCGGCTCGGGAACGCTGCTCCAAGCAAAGCCCGGTTTTCTATAAAACCCGCTGTAAGTGAGCTACGCCTACGCTATTTTTAATATAACTTTTATTTAATTATAGTAACGTTATTAGGAACTTATAATAAATACTTGGGCTATTATTATGGGTTATATAAGTATTTTTTTGACGCTTATATAATAATAATAATAATAGCTAGACTATTAATTAGTCTCGACGAATAATAAACTAAACTCTAGTGGTAATAATACTAGGTTTCGTCGAAGAAAAATTCTTTTTAAGAAGCGAAGCGCTGTCTGAGTTCGGAATCACCACCTTTTCCGGTGAGTGCATAGTTACTTTCAGCTTACACATAGATATGAAGTATTTTATATAAATTACGTGCTATGTGTGCATATTATCTGAATACTTGCTATCTATGCTGATGAACGTTTTATACATGTTTTCAATGATTTAAACTGTATATGTATTTTATATCTACGAAAATGTTGGGGTAAAACATGGGTAGATGTAATAGGTGATGTGTGATAAAATGATGAGAGGCCTCGATGTTGTTGTTGTTGATCCAGTCATCTAGCGGAGTATAGATGACGACCACGGACTCTTCTAGACAGTCCAGTGGAACACTAGCAGGCTCGCAACCTGTAGGTGTTGTGAACGATGTGTTCACCGGTGTACTCCATCCCCCACATGGTTGCCTATTAGGACATTTATTGCTGAGGAATCCCCTTAGCAGTAGTGTTCGTCCCGATGATGATCCTTAGGCTAGGTCCCTTATGATAGGTGTTTAGGGACGTAAAGTGAGGATAACGGGAACGGGTAATCGGGTTATTGTTGATTGATGAAATTAATAAACTTATTTATTGTGGGTTGAAAACCCTATGTGCTCACCAGGCTCCCAAGCCTGACCCACTCAGTTTTATGCATTACAGGTAGTGGCGCATGAGCATAGGTGTGATGTTTTGGACGAGGGATTACGGATATAGGCCTGTAGATATGAAATAATGTAGTAAGGCTT